ATTTTGGAATTATTCTTATTATTGCCTTTATAAGATTAATATATTTATTCTTAAAAAATTGAATTCATTTATTCGTCTCGTTTATTTTATTATCTAATAAATAAATTTATTATTCGTCTATTTTTATTTATTTAATTTTTAGAAAAACGAAAAAATATAATTATGAATTTTGCATTAAATTTAGAAATATTTATCTATTTATGCTCTTTGTTTCATTTATCTATTCCTTTCGTATTTCGAAAAAATAATTTGTAACGAATCAGAAGAAAAAGATAGAGAGACCAGAACGAATGATCAAAGTTAATAGGGGCTTAATGCCGAGGATAGAATAATGAAGATACGGTATATAATCCGTATCTTTATTCTTATAATTTAAATATAATGAAGCGCGAAAATCGAAAAGAAAATTATATTAATTAGATTTCAGGAAATAAAATATCATCTAAATTCGAATTATTCTCTTAATAAATACTTTTAGATAATTTCTATTTATTCAATTATTCATATATCTTAATAACTTATCTTATCATTAAAATCTAATTATAAATTTTCGTAATTAGAAAGAACACAAAAAAATCATATTTCTATATCATTCATATGGGCGGTCTTTAATTCCTGGAATTGATCTAAATATGACAGAAGTTCTGCGACGCCTCATATGGAAGAGAGAAATGACCGTATTATAGAATTCCATATTTTAGCTTCTCGATTGCAAAATTATGAAGTGTTATTAGTGCGGGCCATATGAGTGGTCTGTGGAATGTTGGATCAAGATTTGTCTCGATAATTGGAAGGGCTATTCTTGATAATTAGAAAAGATTCCGATTCGCGAAATAAAGCACTAGGAAATAAATAGAATTATAAAAAGTACGCTGAGCAGCGTTAGCGCTCGGTTGATGTCAATATGATTGGAGTAGACTACTATAGGGGAAAAGGATGAGTTAGGCATCACAAACGAAACATTTCCTAGCGCGGAGCTATCACGAATTATCCATATTATCACATATTTTTTGCTATTTTTTGCCTGTGTTGGGATGATAATCAAAGTCTCGTTCGTTTTCCGGCTCCCTTTGCCCAAAGATGCAAAGGTAACAAGCTGACTAGTTGACAACTTCAATCAAATACTAACGCACAAAGGCAACTCGTACGTAGCTGGGGAGAGAGATGACGGATATAATAGCCCTGGCAGCAGCAGCAGCAAGAGCAGTAGCAGTGGCAATAATAGTGGTAGTAGTAGAAGTAAGAGTTCAAAGTACGAGTATAGGAGTCGGGGTAAGAGTAGAAGAAGAATATATATCACAAACCATTTATTATCTAGATCCCTAATGCCAATAAAGAAATTAACGAGCCCTTATTATTTAATGCCCTTATTAAATATTTAAATCGAGATTTCAATAGCCAAATAAATCTATTTATATAAATGTCGCGACAAAATATTTAGAACGCTGCCCATATCTTTTTATTTCATTTTATTATAAGCTAAATCTATATAATATATTAATTCGAATTAAATAGATAATATTATTTATTATATTTCTTAAATTATTAATTATCTTATTTTTTGCTTTTTAACCTTTATCTATTATATCAAATTCAAATAAAATTTTCTTATAAAAAATTCATAAATCTTTTTTTTCTATATTCCTTCATTTCAATATAAAATTATATCAAATTTCGTATTATTTCAAGAATACTAAAAATTACATTAATAAATAAGAAAATAAAAATACCGAAAAATCGGGAGCTCACTCGAAAAATCAAAGCATACGTCAAAATTTATAATCTTCGGAAATTCCTCATATATATTCAATTCGTATTCTGACCATGAAGAAAATAGAGAAACAATCATCTGAAACAGAAAGACGAATCATATTATTATATAAATAGAAATGAAAGCCAGCTTTCGTATGGTTTGACTCGTAGTTGGTACAGTAAATTATGAGCCTTTAAAAATATGTTGCTCCAGTAAAATTTCAACATACTTGTTCTATACTATGTTTCATTTGTCCATCTTGGTTTGTATCTGTAAAAAACTCTTTCGGAATCTGTTTTAATAATCGAACAATTCTGCATGTTATCGTTTGTACTGCCCAGAGTGTTCCTTCCCGATTTTGCAAACTTGTGGTTGCCACCAGAGCTTATGAAGTGTCGGGTCGCAATACCGATTTCTAGTCCTGCCGGCTATACTACTAGACGTCCTGCAACTCTACAACGTTACCAGCCTTGAACTCATGTTGGTACCTAAAGGAGCTTGACAGAGCATGTAATCTGAATGGTGAAGCATGGTGAAACTAGCACGGAGAAGGAAGGCAGCTTCTCACTCTCACCATCACACCTCACAAATGGCACAAGACCAGCACTGCTTGCCTGTCTGAGCTCTCGATCCTCCAAGCAGCAGACAATTCGGCCCATGCGGCGGAGCCATCTGTTTGACCTCGATGCGTTGCTGGGAGAAGCCAGTCCTTCATACCTTTCAGAAGCCTGGAAGCCTAAACCCTAAACCCATGGAGCTTGCAAATACAGAGCCGTTGAAGCCTGCTCGCCACAGCAGCCTGGGGTGCCCACTTGGGCCCTGGTCGCTCTCCGCCGTAAGCCTCCTGAAAGGACTTTAAGGTTTCGGCTCCAACGTTACGGGCTTAGCTTCTAAGACTTCTAAGCTCGAGGGCTGGTGCTTATGTTGGAACGGAAGGGCTGGTCCCAATGCTTCAACGATCGCGCGGCCAGCACCGCTGGAGGTGCTCTTACCTATTCCTCCTCCTCTTCCTCCACCTCCTAATACCACCGTGATTGCGATTGAAGCTCTCAAGCCGCAAATCGTACACGCTGCTGGTTTCACATGACATCTCGGCGAATGTTCCAAGTATTATTGTCATTTATTGTCACTTCTCGTCCTCGCTTTGCATCACCTCTTGCCATCGAATGTGTATATCTGCCACTTACTACCAATCCAGTCTCAGTCTCGTTGTGAGATTCGGTGCAGTGGTTGGCCGATGCTGGCATCCGACCATCCTCATCACCCCTCGCCCAAAAAAAGACCGAACTGTGTCTCAAACCCACACATCTGGTGGCATGATGTCGGCCTGCAGGCAGCAGGCCCAAGTAGTAAGGGAACGATGCACACTGACGAATCTCGCTTAGAGCTTCAACGGAAACTATGTCCGATGAGGTGGTGGATAGTCACGGACATTGCGAGAAGCTGAAACAGCTGCACTGATGCTCAGCCAGCACAAGACAACCGTGGGATGCAACTCAACCTTTGCTGCTGGACTGCTCTAGACTAGACAGTCTGTCAGGTCCAGCATGGCTTTTGGAATGTGCTTCGGCGCTTCGCTATGCACCCCCCGTTAGGGGCATAGCCGTAGTCATTGGACGCATCTGCGCTCAGGCGGTGCCGAAGCAAGCTTTGGTGATTCTTGCGGACAATGCGCGGATTGTGGCTTTCGGCAAAGTGCGTTGCGCGCTTGGACGCCGACAGCGTGGCTATGGCTCCGTTTTGCTGTGACGAAGCAAGCCCTCGGTTCACTCAGTCGAGCCAGGGATTGCTTTGGAGTTCGGTTTCAGATGTGTCGCAGCCTTCTTGCAACCACCGGAAGCTCTGGTAAGGTTCTCCACTACCCTCCTTCCAGACCCACTAACTCGCCTCGTACTTCACCTTCAGTTCCAGGCGCCGCCGCCGTCGCATGCGGCGGCTCTGCTCCCGGGTGATGCCCCGAGCAATCTCACGCTGGCGCCTGCGGTGACTCTGATAGGTCTGTGGAGCTACGGTTTAGGGTTTATGGGGTTTGTCACGAACCGAAGAGCAGACGAATCAAGCTAATGAAAAAAATGAAGAACGGAAACTTCTGTGTATCCGTTGACAGATGAGCGGTCTTAAGTGCAATACTACTGCTACTGCTACTGCT